GGCGCGGTTTTTGCTTGACGAGTGTGGGATACACGTAGATGAGGTTGGTGATTGAGCAGAAATTTTGTGTTACAGCCACCGTGTCGTCTTCATTGATAACCACGTGCCACCATCCTGCCAAAAATATCCTGTTGGATGTCGTTATTAAAAAAATATTCACCAACAATAAAGAGTTCATGAAATTGTAAACACATTTCAGAGCAATGACAGCTGTCTTAACTGTATTGAGGGAAGTAAATGGAAGCTTTTCTTTGCTGCTCATCGGTTGTGAATGAAAAGAGCTCAAAGGGACACTCCATGATCAAACCGACGCGTTTATTGCACAAGAAAATGGAAGTATTGTGGCAAAGTGGGACAGACATTCAAGAATAATGAAAAAGAATCAGAAACGAACAATTTGAGAGCTTGCTCATTTTTTGCGCTGAATCAACAGAACACTTGGCAGGAAGAAGAAAGGTGTTGCTGCAGACTAGGAAAAATGGAAGCGATTGAAGCGGACTTTAAAGAACTAGCGTCTTTTTTGCGCACTTAGAGTCTCCTCGTGAACTGCTTCATCCTACTCAGCAAAAAGATTCCTCCATTCGAAACCATCCTGGGGTGTGCCTATAAGTACATAGCCCCAGCCATTGAACCACGTCGAGGCGAGCAATTTTAACCTCGTCCTAATCAAATCGGGTTGATGCTGGAAAGGGTGGTTCGAGAGTAAGAAATGCACTACCTGCAGAGGAGAGTTGAAATCAGGACAGATTTTATAGAAAACTGATCAGTGGTTTCAATATTGATGGATGAGAATGTATCACATTCTCTGAGAAGTCTAGAAGACCAGCAAAATTCACAGGGTTCTCATTTCACACTTTACGTTTTATATGAATTCTAGCGATCCTATCAACGAAACGAGGTTATTCTTAAAGTCGTAAAGTTGGAGCCACATGTTACGCATTCCCATAAATGTCATGCAAATGCCTTGATACCCATTTTATGTACTCAAGATACAAGATGATTATAGGGTACACTAAAGGCCTGCTTTTCAAAGCGCACTGAACGCTGCCATGAAGCTGCACACCACCGATAATTCGCACGGCGAAACTGGGGCAAAAGTCACCACGTCTCCAGTGACACTTATTGCATTGCTATTTCATTGGGAACCCAGTATAAACACTGCAAAAAATCGTCACAAAAATGAGTGGCGACGGGCCTGTCATGCAAACTGCCTTTGTATTAGTATATTGAATGTTATAACATGAAAACGAAGGCTGAGTTCACGCTAGTGAAGTACCAGGGCTTCAAGCATAGGGCGCACCAACCCGCTGGGTCCCATGAGGGACTGGTTAGAGGTGACGTTCGAGAAATTTCAATGCTTCAATGCTGGTGCATGAAGGCTGCCAATGGTAGTATGGTAGGATGTGGTAATATGGAAAGTGAGCTCTGGTCCAGTCGGTGGAATTTAGTAATGGTAAGAGTAGTAAAGAATAAGAAGATCAACATGAGGAAAGATGACACCATCTTGCGCGTCCCGCATGGAAGATACAGTTTGTCAGGGGTTATGTTCTATTCTAATACCGATATTTTCGAAACGGGCTAGTGTACTGCCGTATACAGCTACGTTGGTCACAGATACGTTTGTATACGGTAGAGAACCATGTGACGGCCTCTTTTGCGTGGATACCACGTTGGTCTTTCGGAATTCGCACAAGATCGCGTGGTGCATCCGGATGAATGAAGACCCATCTGAAAAAGTGAATTATGACACAAGGATACTGCATAGCAAGGGAAATTTCTAATAAGAATGCCTACCGTTTATGACCATGAATCAGAGCATTCCAGGCGCTTGTTCCAAGAGGATCAATATGGATGTTGGTCCCCGAACGAGCTGGCCCAATCACAATCCATCTGTAATGTTGAGAACATTTATTCTATTGATCATACCTTGAAGTATGCAAGTATAAGTTGTGATTTGAAGAAAAGACGTCAATACTTCAGTTCAGCAAAATTGTTTCAGTCTTATGATATTTTCAACACGGATCTGTCGCCTTTGCCCCTTAATGTCTTGAACTTTTGAATAAAAGGGAAGGTAGAATTGACTAGTAGTTATTACGGAATTTTATGGCCAGCATGATATGTACAACTAGTACTTGAACAATCGGGCCGAAAAAGCTTTTGACGTACACTGTAGAGGTGGGTGATAATCTGAGCTCTCTCATTACCACTATATATCTTCTTGATCGAGTTTCCGCTTTAACACCTCTGGATAACTTTTAGTGATTGATTATCACCAAGGTTGTATCCATTTTTGTGTGTTCACCACTTAATGCCTTTTGTTTCTATTACCCAAAACAGCGAAAATGGTCTTCCCTGTGACGAACACTCATTATTACCCGAATTAACTGGTTATTCAAAGAAGAATACATTGCTTCCGCTTACTGCTAGTATTTGGGTAGGTATACAGCGAGATTTGGAATCCCTCAACATTGGTGACTACAACTTGCTTGATCAGTCACCAACAAAACGCTCCTTCTTACCTGAACAAAGGCTTTCCTTTTGTAAGAACCAAAGGCTTCGAAAAGGTTGCCTCGGAAGTAAGGAGGAACTTCATAGTCGTTCACCATGTCCATTGTAGCATGTCGCTGAATTATAGTCTAACTTCATTTAAAGGAATCTTGCGCATAAAATCCTAACATGAATATGTCAGTTGTGATCACTGGAAATAGCACACAAAGTTTCACGCATGAAGATTCGGTTTCTGAAGAGAAACAAACGTACAAAAACTACACGTTATGGACCATCGAAGGACCAGGAGGCAGAGCCAGGCGAGGCATGGAAAGAAGACGGCGTTTGGCCGGCTACGTACCAGGCGACGCAATGAGAGAATCGGGTTAAAGCGCGCGATTTCGGAGAGTGGAGACAAATCGATCGATGGAATAGGATGGAGTAGAAGTGTAAGATGTGAATGCAACGAAGCAGAAGGCCAGAAAGAGCTTCTAGTGAATGCACTCCAAGAACCAAGTTTGAGCATCCCCGTCGCCAGCATTCGTGAAAGACGTCCGTGGGCAATTCGAACGCGTAGCAGCCTTTTCGAGTTTTCGAATTTCTAATCAAAACGAAAGCAATACTTCAGTTCTTTTCACTATTATCGTGGATAATGAGTCTCAAGCCAGTGATTTATGGCTGAAATAGAATCATGATTTTTCCGCGCAAGATTCCTTTAAGTTTAACACTTACGTATATTTGTCGAGTGCACATCTACGATTAGTTTTTTTGTGGTGATTGTGCTTGAAAATGGAGATGCGAATGAATAACAACAGTGACAAAATCGAGCAATTTTGAGCCGTGGAAAACACGAACTATGGCAGAGCTGACACTTTTCTGAGCCGGGAGGAGTATATAGC